CTGAGCTACATCCCCAGTTCATTAGGGTGCTTTTAACACCTGAATTGTAATGAGAGGCTTGGAACTGTAGCAGAGACCAGGGTAATGATTCACCAGGTCATGCACCTCTTCCAGAACTCCAGTACTATAAATTGTCTTAAGTACTCTATCTTGGCTGAGTTTTAATTACAATAGGTCATGTTAATTTAATCAAAATTTCCAAGTGCACTCAGATGCAGAGCTAAGGTATCATTTGGATATATTATTTCTAATCTCATTTGTGTTCATATACTTTTATGATAAACTGCTAATGAGATTTCTTAATATTAAAATTGTCTGTGTTGGATGTTTGGAAGATTTGTTTTAATAATAAAATGATAAAAGTCTTGCCATTTATTTTCCCTCAGAGTAAATTAATATTGTTATTCTGTACTGTGTATTTACTTCTCCTGTACCTACATCTACTAGTTATTCCTTTATTTCCAGATTACAGTCACCTGACTCTATTTGCCAATATAGAGGTGCTCATTAGAAAAGATCAGTGCTAATAATTTCATTGCCTTTTATATAAAGAGAAAAGGTTCATTTTGACTCACAATTCATCCTGACTTTTGATAAAGGATCTTCCTGTTTGATTCTCTTCAAAATTGATAACTCCACTTGCCCACGATTCACAGTTAAATTTCAATTGCTCTGGCCTGAAATAACAAAATACAAGGAAATATGGCTAGATAGTTTTACAGATCAGAAGAGTTGATGGTACCTGATTTGATGTGAATTCCATATCATGGAAGTCTCCTTGCTCAAACGTGCCAGATCTGTGTATGAAATTCTTTTCACTGGGCACCTCACTTCATGGAAATTCAAGCTGATATCATGACCCCCCCAAAAAAATAATCTCAAATTTCAACATTTTAAGTATTTCAAGTACTTGTCAAGCTTTTAAAATATAAATAATGTCAGGGAAAAATAGCAACCAATCCCACCTTAATGTAAATTAGTTTCATGAGAAAATAGAGTAATGAGAAAAATGAAATATACTTTTTCATTGTTGGGAAGGTTGGTTTTTATCTAGTATCTGAAGTCTCAAGGACAACCATAGGTCCATTTATCTCTCATTCTTTCTTAATTTTGAATTAAATGTCTATATCTTATTGAAAAGAAGCATTTGTAAGTAGATAAGAAGTAAAACCTGTTGCTCAGGGAGAGAAGGATTGTAGCTGAGAGCCCTAGAGAAGGGAAATTGGGAGAACCAGTCAAACTTTCAGAAAGTTTTTGAGTGATGGCATATGGGGCATAAAGGTCCCAAAACAACAAACAGGTTGACTTCGTATTGATTGTGAATCCAATGGGATTCCCATTCAGATGATTCAGCTACTGTTTAGAATAAAGTTTTCAAAATTTCCATGAAATTTAATAAATTATTTTTCATTGGAAATATCACTTAATCTTTTTTCTTACTTTCTTAGGATTGAGACTGGAGAAGTTTTACCACATTTTCACTAGAAATGAGCACTTTTAGTACTCTTCAAATGCTATTGAGTGGTACCTATCATCTAATAAAACTATTTATGCCCGAAAACAAATATGGATAAGTTTCAAGATAATGGGTTTTTTAAATTTCCATTAACAGCCATTTCTAAGATTTCATATTACTACTTCAGCGTCTATTTTTAGGAAGCTCTTTAGTGAATCAAACTGCCAGCTCAGTTTCACATTCTAGGCCAAGCACTCAATGTTGTGCAGAAAACGTGCAGGCCTCTGACCAGTAGAAAGATCTTTTACCCCAATTTCAATATTAATTAAATTATACATAAACTGCTTCAGTTGGAAAACTCTGGTTCAGTTTTCTTTTTAATGCTTAACATCTTGTTTACCTACTTTCACTAGAAATAGATAAATGCGATTCTCCACGCTAAAAAGAAAAATTAGAAATTATCTTGGCCTTCCATTATTCATCATCTCCAGCATCCTAGCAATTTTCAAGTCTGTACTGCATCATTATTACCTTTTTCCATATATTTTACCATTATTGTTCAGGGTTGACCAAAAAGAAACATTTCTATGCACATATCCTCATAAACTGCACACACTGCACTGTCCAATTCTACATCATTTGGGAGCCAGATGAGTCACCTCACTCCGTCACCAAGGCAGCACTCTAGGCATGCTAGAAGATTTTCTGCTAACATTGTTGGCTCTTTCAAAAGTTGATGCCTGCTTTTCCCTAGGTATGGAAATCAGTGTCTTCTTATTGACATGAAATTCATACCTTAAAAGTCAAGACTGTTCGCTACACGCTTCCCTGAACAGATATATTCTGTGTGTCCACTAAGCACACTCAGGAAAATGCTGTGCTGGGTGCTTCCAAGCTTGTCCTTCCGTAATGTTATCTTCACACTTCCATATGATAGTAAGAATGGCATTCTGTGCTCAAATCCAGCATTGTACACAACTCTCTCCTGGCTCTCATTTCACCTCGACTCATGCTGGATTTACCTACTCACATGTTTCTCGCTTTCACTGTATTGTAAGCCCTTAACACTGACAGTATACGCTTACGACCTACATGCTTTATGCATGAAAGCCATTTTGTCAATATACAAAAGAAATGATGCATAGATGTGATTAGAATATAGTTGAATGGAATTTCTATTCCAGAATGGATGTTAGAAACTCAAAGTGACTCATCCTACCTGCTATCAAAACAATGATTGTAAAATTATTAAATCAAGAAAATTTTGATTTAAGATCTGAGAATGGAAGGAGTAAAAACAACTGAGCCAGGGTTAAGACACATTTTAATAAGCAGCAAAAACAACTGAAACAGGGTGAAGACACATTTCAAAAAGATTGAAAAAAATTACCTGTAGGGGAAAAAATGCTCCAGAAGAAGACTTAATTTTTTTGGTTTGATTTATTGCTTCCCATGGACAATCTCCCTTTAGTTGATAATTACAATAAGTAAGAAAAAGAATAGGAGAAAAACAATAAGAAATAGGTAAAAAAAAATTATCAATTTCGTAGCCTGCACAAATCAGTGTTTGGTAGAATGGTGGTCTCAGAGTGGCAGATCATCTTAGCAGGGCCACTGGCTTTCAATTATGAAGGTAGATTCTATAGATTTTTCAAAACCCAGACTGGGAAGCTTCACAAAGACACTGCTGTTACATTGCATTAATCACAACAGGTACCAAGGTCAAGTCAGATTCCAGCAGAGAAATAGACTCCGTATTTAATGAATCAAGGAAAAATCACCACAAATAGCAAGTGAGATTACAAGCATTTCTGGAATCAATTTCAGAATGCATACCTTCTGTCCTCTGTACATAAAAATTCTGTCCTGTATATGAAATACATTTATCCATTCACTCCCCAAAATTCACTCCATTATAAGTTCAGGCCAACATTGGGGACCAAGATTTCTTTATCTAAATTGGGTTCAAGTGAGAAAAGTTTTCTTTAGGTACATATTTGTGAGTGCAGCATTTCAGCTTCAGAAAGACACATGATTACAGAAACAAAGAAGTATTTTTGCCCACTCAAGCCTTGCATTTAATGAAAATGAAAAGAGTGAATAAGTGCAATAGACTATCCTTCAAAAAGGGGAAATACAATAGAGAATAGTCATTTTCTATAACAATTTTGAAATCCACTGAACATACGTCAGCATAATTCACAGCTTGAGGAACAAAGATGTACATAAATCATGGGCCATCTCTGAGTCCAGGGAGAAGCTCTCCTAGGAACTTTTCTCTACACTCTGCTTTATGGTCTAGAAGACATTGTCCATGTTTGTAGCTGAGTGGCTTTCTCATCTTGCTTCCTGTATATAGAAGTTCATGGAACTATATACTTCTTTTCATTTTGAAATTTCTCTCCCTTTCAATCCAAATGGATATAGTTCTTACAAAAATATGTTTTTCCTATATATCAAAAGTATAATTTACTCAATAGACAAAAGCCACACCAACAAATATTTTCAAGACATGTTCCTCTCTTCTTTGGGTAATGAATCAGTGTATCACTGGCCAAATCACTTCAGATGCTTAGACGCTGAGAGATCAAAATAATACCTTTTGCATTTTTCTAAGGTCTAAAACAGAGTTGTCAAGAAAAATCTTTGATTTAACCTTGACTCCACATTTTACCATGATCACCCTGGAGTGAATCCATTTCCTGCAACCACTGGGGATACAGTGACAGCTGGAGAAGGCAGGAAGGAGAAATAAGTTTATTTCTAACATGGCATATCCTGGGTTAGAAATAATACCTCTAAATTCTGTTTGAACATGAAATCATTTAATTTTTTGTTGATTTTTCTCAATTGACTAAGTAATATGTAATTAAATGAAGTCAGTCCAGAGTTTCAATATTCTGACTGGAAATTTTCTTTGACAGCTCTGCAAATGAATTAGCAATACACCTATATCTCATAAGGCACCATGGGGACAGTGCTGACCAACATTCCACCAACAAGAGAAACAGTCTGTTTTTTCCAGTCTACAATAAGAATTTGCTCATTTCCATTGTATCCTCCATAACAGGGTCTTCTCCTTGTAGGCAAAGATTGGTCTATGGCCACTTAACCAATGACCCATATTTAAAGTTTTGTTAGTGTAGAAGACTCCACCCTCTATTACTGTAAAAGATACCATTTTCTATTTTATCTAAAATACTATGTGTGAGCAAGTGACATCAATAAGATTTGCATGCTGATTCTAGTCATTTATGCCTTTGCTATGCTTTCTGTGGGCTGCTCCCAGATGTTATCTGTATATAAGAAGAGTATTAAGGGAGGCCCATCTAAACAAGCAAAAACCCTCAAACTAGTGACTTAAAACTCAAGTACTTGCACTTGTTCATGATTCTTTGTGTCATGACTTAGGACAGGGCTTGGCTGGATAATGCTTCTGCTCCTTGGAATATTATCTTGGATCACTCTTTCAGGTGCAGTCCTCTGGTATGAGGTTAGAGAAAAAGACTACAAAAAGCTGTGCTTTTTTGTTTTGTTTTGTTTTCAGCATCACACTTCTCCATGTCTTTTTTTTTTCTTTTGGTTCATTAGGCTGTTTTAATTGAACTAAGGTAAAAAGGTAAATGCTCAAACCAGAGATATGTATTTAGAACTGTTTCCCAATTGTTTCTATTTTCCATTTTTGCTTTTTTTAAAAACAGTTATTGAAGCTGCCAATTTTGATAATCACATTCCTTATATTATGATGTATTACTTATGCCCACTATTTTCCATATGTGATATTCATATATTTTCAATCTTTTTTCTTTATTGGTACATTTTAGGTATACAATACAGTTACATTCATCATTGGGATCTTGTACCTTTACATGATATATCTTGGTTTTTATTTTTCCCCCATTCCTCTGCCCTCTCTTCATCTCCTCCACCCTTCCCTATTTACAGAGACATTGTTTCCATTTTTTCCTTTTCTCTTATTTTTTGTTTTCCCTTTTTAGCTTTCCCCTACACCTTTAGACATGTTTTACTATTACACAATATCAATTATAGATTTTGATCCTTATTTATAGTTTTAGTATTTTGCACCAAAGAAACTATTTGGTATTTATACATGTGTGTATTATTCATTTCACTTAAGATTTGCAGATGAAAACAATACTGAGATTCCATCTCACCCCAGTAAGAATGGCTGCTATCAAGAAATTAACCAGTAACAAATGTTACTGGGTTGTGGGGAGAAAGGAACCCTTCTCCATTGTTGGTGGGAGTGCAGACTGGTTCAACCACTGTGGAAATCAATATAAAGATACATCAAACAACTAGGATTAGAAGTCCCATTTGACCCAGCTACTCCCCTTCTGGGCATCTTCCCAAAAGAATTAAAAGAATCATACCACAGCAATATATGCACACCTATGTTTATAGCAGCACAATTTGTAATAGCTAAAACTTGGAAACAGCCCAATTGCCCATTAACTGGAGACTGGAAAAAGAGATGTGTGTGTGTGTGTGTGTGTGTGTGTGTTAAATATATATAAAATGGAATATTACTCAGCCATAAAGAACAAGAAACTAGAGACACTTAGAGCTAGGTGGATTCAAATGTCTACTTTGTTTTACGGAAAATTTCTTTGTGGTCATCTCAGGCTATGTAAATTATCATCTCCATTCCAAAAGAACATTAAAAGAAGTGAAAAAAAATTGAAGATCTAATGTTCATTTTCTGAATTTATAAAACATCTTTTCTGTTCCCAGAATAGGTCACAAGCCTGACATAGACAGCTGCAGAGGGGAGACAAACTCCCAATTTGAAGGTGACATGTGACAACTGTGAAAATGCATGTCAGTAAGTGAGAGGCATCCCAGTAGTGATATTCTGAATTTACCATATACATACAAAGGTCTCACTTCCTGTGGGCCACTCCTGCCAGTGACTGAATTTTATGAACACTGGATCAGAGCCATTTACAAGATGTGGGAATCCTTTGGTAGCCTACTTTGGCCCTATAGCCCCCTAACAACCTTTTCAGGAGCAAGGCTTCAGTCTGCAGCTAGGCCTACGTGGCTTTCCTTTATTCCCTCTTTCCTTTACAGAGATCAAGCCTGCTTCACAGTATGAAAGGATTTCCCACCTTCTCACTCTTCCTTTTTCTTCCAATGGGAATCTCTCCAATTGGAATCACTTCTAATGTAATCTTGGTGTCTGCTTCTCAGTGGATCCAGATGGACTTGGCCTGAAAAAGATACAACACAAAAAAACATGAGTGATAAGAGATACTGCTGTGAATTTGGCTCTGAAAAGATCATAGGCTTTACTTGGTACTTTGTAACTGGTAAAAGTTCACTATGAGAAGCAAAGCTAGTAATAGAAGCAGGGCCCATAAACCTACCTCATTCTTTTTTCATAAATATGAAAAAAGCCAAAGATTACCAAACACTTGAAGTAGACCAGCATCAAAAAAGGGAAAACCTCAGAGAAATAACATAAGATAGTGTTTCCAAAGTGGAGAAAATTAAGGGAACCAGGAGAAACTTGCCCAGAAATTTTCCTTCTTATGTGTCAGTTTTGAAAAAAGAAATTAAGCACATACTCTTATAAGTTAGAAAAATTAATGTTAAAAAAAGCAAAGATGAGCTCAATGGACAGAACTGTCTAGTCATTTGATGTAGCATATAAGGCCTTCTATGAAAGGCCTGGTTTTTTTTTTTTTTGGTTTTTTTTTTTTTTTTTTTTTTTTTTTTTTTTTTTTTTTTTTTTATTGAGGTTATTGGTACAATCTAGGTATACAATACAATTGCATTCATCATTGGGATTCTGTACCTTTACATAATAGGTCTTGATTCTCATTTTTCCCCTTGTCCCTGCCCTCCCTTCACCCCCTCCTCCCCTCCCCATTTACAAACACTTTATTTCC